AGTAAATTCAAATTTAAAATAATTTTATATTAACAGCTATGGCAAATTTAATTTGCATTTTATAAAAACTGTTTAAAATGGTTTTTAAGAATTATAAGGGAAAGGTACTTATAGTACAAAAATTTTGTAATTATTAAACTTAAATTATGCTTTATTTGGGGACTGGGAAATGTATTTTTACATTGTTTATAGCCAATCATTTTTGTATTTGTCAAAGTAAATCCTGTGGGTCTTTTTTATCTCTCTCAATGTCAAATTTTATAGTCGTCTTTTTAAATAAATCCATTTAATTAAAATGTTCACACCTTTGTAGTTGTTCATTATAGGAGCATGGTAGTTTGTTGAACGGTTTCTCCCTAGTTGTGGGAGTTGGCTCAAACCTTGTTGAGTACCTTTGTGGAATACTAGAGTGAGCACTATCCAGGGGCAAGAGGTGAGGCTAGGAAAGAAGCCAGTCCATTTCCTATACCTGAACTGTTCCTCTTGATGAAAGTTAAAATACACATTTAAACATTTTTAGGGATGAAAAGTTATAAAATAGTGTTACAGACTAAATGCCTTTACAGAAGCAAATTTGGACCTTATATCACATTTGTAGATGTGGCTAACAGTGCTTAAAAAAACAGGCATATTCTGTCTGTGACTGTTTAACAATTGGGAAAGTACAAAGGAAAAGTAGGGTGGTTCTGGTAAATCTTCAGCTATTTGTATAGTTTGCAAAATTCCTGCCTCCAGTCTGTATGAGAATAACAAGGTCTTTATAGTCATCAAGAATTCACTGGAATTCATACATTCTTCAAAGTTTATTGTTTGGTTTTGATAAAGAGCATTTTATCAATGTGCTGTAAGCTTCAAGGAGCAGAAAATATAATTAAATGTGTCTTAAATGGTAAGAAAAACTTCACAAAAAAGTTGGGTAGGTCTTGGTGGTGCAGACCTGTAAGTAGCCTGCAGGCTCAGCTACCTACACAGGAGGGATAGATAGGTAGGAGGATCACTTGAGCACAGGAGTTTGAGACCAGCCTTGTAAATTCAGTATTTCAGCTGTGTCGTCATGGACCCAAGTCCTTTTCCATGATTTTCTGACCATCCATCTTGTGCTGTGCGTTTTGTCCTTAAAGTTGAACCTTGGGGGAGGAGGGCAGTGCTGGGGTTTGAACTCAGGGCTTTGCAAACGCTAAGTGTTCTGTTACTGAGCTACATCCCCTACCACCCCCCATTTTATTTAATTTTGAGATGGGGTCTTGCTAAATTGACCAGGCTGACCTTGAACTTGAGATCCTCCTCCCTCAGCTTCCCTAGTTGGGAGTACAGGCCTGGCTCAGGGTTGAGCCTTTATAGTGTAACAAGACATCTACACAGTGGTGTCTAAGAAGAAAAGGAATTATTTATTCTCTTGTATCTCTCAAGATGTTTCTTTTCAGCTGGGTGTGGTGGTACATGCCCTACTTTTTAGTTTTTTTTTTTTTTTAATATTTCAGTCACTAAAATGTACAGAGAATAACACTTGGAGACAATACCCAGCTTAAGTAGATTTTAACATTTTCCTATATCTGCTCTAAGATCCCTTGTTGAAACAAAAAAGAATTTTAGCCAGGCATGGTGGTGCACACTGAATCCCAGTGACTCCAGAAGCTGAAGCAGAGGATTGCAAATCCMAGGGCAGCTTAGTTTGACCTTGTCTCAAAACAACAACAACTAAAGAGTTGGTGATGTAGCTCAGTGGAAGAGTGTTTGCCTAGCATGCAAGAGTTCTGAGTTCAATACTTAGTACTGTCAAAAAAAAAAAAAAAAAAAAGAAAAAGGAAAAGTTTTTTTTTTGTGTGTGTGTGTTTGTGTATGTGTGTGTGTGCTTTTTGTTATTGTGTTTTGTTGTTGTTGTTGTTGTTTGTTTTTATTTTTAGTACCAGGGATTGAACCTAGAGATGCTTAACTACCGAGTCATATCCCTAGCCCTTTTTTAAAAATTTCTTATTTTGAGAGAGGGTCTTACTGAGTTGCTGAGGCTGTCTTCAACTTGTGATTCTCCTGCYTCAGCCTCCTGAGCCACTGGAATTGCAGGTATATGCCACCATGCCCAGTGAAAAAGTCTTAAAGTACTACTATGTTGAAGCCCATTATTATATACAATTAAAATGCTCTACCTCTAATCGTATTCTTCCTTTTTGTTTTTGAAATATTTGTTTTTTAGTTTTAGATGGACACAATATCTATTTTATTTTTGTGGTGCTGAGGATGGAACCTAGTGCTGCAGGCATACTAGGCGAGCACTTTACCACTGAGCCACAACCCAGCCYCTATTCTTCCTTTTTTAAGGGTAAACATTATATTAAATTTGATAGATCTCCATCCTTCTCTGTTTTTATTGTCTGTACCAAATATGCATAGGAATATGCATTAGAATAACATGGATMCTGAAAAATAGCCCAAGAAAGCCAGCATCAAACCCAAATAAACATTTGGTAAACAAGAGAGGTAATCTTGTGTACCAAACAAAGAGTTGATCATTTAAATAAACGAGATCACAAAAATCAATGTAGAATCATGTATATTTATAAAATATAAAAGGCAAATCTTTAAACATTTTAGAAATAAAGGAGAACATTTCTGACTTTGAGGTTACCACAGAAACAAAATATAAACCATAGACTGCAAGAAAATATTTCTAAGACAGATTTTTTTTAAAAAAATCATTTTTTTAATTGTAGGTGGACACAATACCTTTACTCTATTTATTT